CTAGCCTTGAGCTGAAGAGCTGAGGGACAGCACCCAGGCCCAGAGTTCAGGCCCCACGACCGGACCCAAAAAAAAAAAAGTATTCTTTGAGTCAGGTGTCGGTGGCTTATGCCTGTAATCCACAAAAACCTCCTTGGTCATTTGTTGTTTTATTCTGTCTTGAGCAGGGCATATGACACTGGCAAAGATAGCTCTACCACTTTGAGAATTGGAACCCTAAACTGTCTGCTAACCACCGTCTGCTAATCACATTACCAGATTGCCCTTGAGACAGGGATCCCAGAAGTATATTCCTCTCCCCTCCCCCACCCTCCTTTTGTTTCAGGAAGGGCTTTGTTCCAAAATACTGGGGGGTCCTCTTTTCTCCTCATTACTTTCTCCACAGCAGAAGTCTGTCTGTCTGTGTATCTGTGGTAGACGAGACTGGAAAACCTCACACAAAAGGAATTTTATTTTATGCTGTCAAGGTCGAGCTATTATTTTGGACTTCAGAGCACCTGCTTAGAGAAGAGACTAAAATATCCCAAATGAATCACCTTAGCAAAGGAATCAGTGAGAAAAGGACGGGGTTAGCACTGGCTCAACTACACAAGTTCAGTAGGGAATTCCTCATTCTGTGAGAGCCTGGCTTCCAGGTGCCTCAGCTAACTCCCTGAGCACAGGGCGTTCTGTCTGGCACATGGGTTTACTCAGTGCTTCCTTAGAAGCGCCTACTAAGTGTCTGTTCCAAAGACAGGAGATAGCAGTGAACAGAACAGAATAGTGTTCATTCTTTCTTGGAGATTTTTATTCTAGAAGTTTGAACTTACAATAGCAGGACTTGTATATGTAACGACTTTGAACATACACACGGCTCCCATTTTCCCAAGATAGTATTTGTCTAAACTTAAGTGATATGTAAGGCAAGGTACCCACCATGTTGCTATTGTTTTTTGTTGTGGTTGTTGTTTATTTGGTAATACTAAGATTTGAACACAGAGCCTTGTGTTTGCTAGGTAGGTGCTCTGCCAACGGAGTTAAAGTTTTCTTTCCACTCTTTTTGCTATCTTTCCCTTGAAATGTTTTTTTAATATTGCTTTGAATTGCTCATGCAGCAAAATCAGCTATCTTAGTGGACTAGGAATGTGGAGAACCTCTACCCAAAAACTTAAACATTAACCTCTCTAGATTTCATAATATACATTTATGTTCAACATATGTGTGTATGTGTATACAGTTTAGAATTTTTAAAGCTGAAGGTGTGGAGTTGTGAAGACTTGCCTTGCAAGAGTAATGTCCTAAGAAGCCACTTCTGGCTTCTTTTGTGTACTGTTTTTGGAGATAAGAGTCTCAAAGGGTTTCCTGCCTGGGCTGCTTCAAACCAGGATCCTCACATCTCAGCTTCCTGAGTAGCTAGGATTATAGGCATGAGCCACCAGTGCCAGGTGAGATGAGATTCTCATCTCCAATTAATCACCAAAAAAAATGGAATTAGATCTGTAGTTCAAGTGGTAAAGCTGTAGCCTTGAGCACAACAGCTCAAGGATAGTGCCTAGGTCTTGAGTTCAAGTCCCAGAACTGGCACCAAAACAATAACAACAAAACCTCTAGGACTGGCAAAATATATTTTTTAATATGAAGACCTCATAGTAAAGTACGGTTCATAATTTATGCATAATTAATAGTTAGCTACACTCATTTATACATAGTTTACATAGGTAATAATTGTTATAGCTTCACACAATAAACTAGAAGCTTAAATTCTGAGCTTTGGAACCCATTATGTAATCATTAGGTTATCCGTTTTATTTTTTAATATTTATTTTATATAAATTCATTAAAGCCTGTTCTTTCTAGTACTTCACAAATCTGATATCTCTTCTTTTCACTGTGTATGTGTGTGTGCATGCACCATTCGTAGAGCTTGAACTCAGGATCTAGATAGTGTTCCTGAGCCTTTTTACTCATAGTGCTCTACCACTTGAGCCACAGTGCCACTTCTGGCTTTTTTGGTAATTAATTGGAGATAAGAGACTCACAGATTTTTCTTCCTGGTCTGGCTCCTGTGGTCCTCAGATCTCAGACTCCTGAGTAGCTAGGATTACAGACATGAGCTACTAGTGCTCCTCTTTTTTATTAGTGTATATTAGCAGATTATTTTTTTATGTTAAAAAGACACATATGGAGGGCTGGGAAGGTGGCTCAGTGGTAGAGTGCTTGCCTTGCATGCATGAGGCCCTGGATTCAATTCCCCAGCACCACATAAACAGAAAAAGCCAGAAGTGGCGCTGTGGCTCAAGCGGTAGAGTGCTTGCCTTGAGCTGAAGAGATAAGGGACAGTGCCCAGGCCCAGAGTTCAGGCCCCACTACTGACAAAAAAAAAAGAAGAAGACTAGGCCGGGCGCTGGTGGTTCACACCTGTAATCCTAGCTACTCAGGAGGCTGAGATCTGAGGATCTCGGTTCAAAGCCAGCCCTGGCAGGAGAGACCATGAGACTCCTATCTCCAATAAACCACCAGAAAACTGGAAGTGGCGCTGTAGCTCAAGTGGTAGAGCACTCGCCTTGAGCTGAAGAGCTGGGGGACAGTGCCCAGGCCCAGAGTTCAAGCCCCACGACCAACCAAAAAAAAAAAAGAAGACTCATATGGACTGGGAATGTGACTCAGTGGTAGAGTGATTGAGTGGTTGCCAAGCATGCATGAAGCCCTGGGTTCAGTTCCTCAGTACCACATAAACAGAAAAAGCCAGAAGTAGCACTGTGGCTCAAGTGGTAAAGTGCTAGCCTTGAGCAAAATAAGCTCAAGAACAGTGCCCAGTCCTAGAATTGGCAAAAAAGAAAAAAAAAAGACAACTTTCATTAACAGTATGAACTGAAACACATTTCAGTTTGGCTGAAATGTGTTGTGCTATTCTTTCTGGTACTCAAGATGTCTTCTCTCATAGGATTAACTACATGAGTCCTTGGTTATCTATCAAGGAAGAATAACGATTTTACAACCAAAGGACTACTGGAAATTCTTCTGTAACCTCTTTGTTTTATTTATGACAAACAAGTGATTCATTGACTATGTGTTGATTTAATAGATAAGTCAAGTGAAGCCCACACAGGCCAAGTGACCCACTTATCTAGTCCTCTGTACACTAATGATACTTTACTGATACTGATCAAACTAGTGGAACCAGACTCTTAATTGTGAAGATGGTACTCATTTAACAAATTATTATTTGAAACTAAAGATTTGTCATATAGCTGGGCACCGGTGGCTCATGGTTGTAATCCTAGTTACCCAGGAGACTGAGATCTGAGGATTGCAGTTCAAAGCCAGCCCAGGCAGGAAAGTCCATGAGACACTTATCTCCAATACACAACTGGAAGTGGCACTGTGGCTCAAGTGGTAGATTGCTATCCTTGAGCTGAAGAGCTGAGGGACAGTGCCCGGGCCCAGAGTTCAGCCCTATGACCGACCAAAAAAAAAAAAAAAAAGATGTGTCATGTAATATTCAAAGTGCTAATTTTTAATATTTTTCTCAGGCCTCTAAGGAAGAGGGGAGTCAAAAAGTCATAGGTGATTGTAAATTGCTGTCCCCTTGTGCTTAGTGCTTAATGGTTGCCTGCTCTGCTTCACTGCCTGTGTAGACAGCCAGTCTCTTCTGCTGTCGAAATGATTGGGTGTGACATGTAGAGGGAGAAATCGGCTTCTGAGGGCTTATTCTGAACTGAACTCTTTTTTTTGTTGTTGTTTGTTTTTATTTTCAGTTGGAAGAAGAAAGATCTGTACTCAACAATCAATTGTTAGAAATGAAAAAGAGGTAGGTTTTTTTTCTGTTTTTATTTTGTGTGTATGTGAGTGTGTTTGTGTTAAGGAAAACTTCAGAAAATGATGTGTATAATAACTTGTAGAAAACAAATGACCTTTTATGTTTAGAAAGTAGCATGTGTATATTTGATATACTTATCATTGAAAGATTATGAAAAGTTCTGTTGCATTTACTCAGAAGTAGTCTAAAATCAGATTGTTTCATACTACCCTTTCCTCCTAATCCTAGTAACTAAAATACTGAAATTTTATTGATAATAATTATTGTACATAGAATACTGATTCCAATTAGATAAAAATTATAATTCTTCAATAGTAATAGGTAATACCATTTTAAATGTTTGTATTTATTTTCCAAAAAAGTAACTTATTCTATACTATTCAAATGGAAGTGCAGTTAATTTTCCTGGTACTTTTGAGAAAGGATGATGATGGCCCACAGAAATTAAACATTCAAAAGCCTGGTGTTCGTGCATCCTGATGGGCTTTGCTCTTTTGACACACAACAGATTTAGGTCTGGGAGTATGACTCAAGTGAGACAAATCTTGCCTAGCAACTACATGGCCCTGCTCTCAGATCCCAGTGCCACAAAAAAGTATATATTAGAAAATAAAATATGCAGATTTGTCTAGAGTAATCTTGTTTCACCTGTGCCATGTAGGTATAGTTTGTGCAGTCATTGAGAACCACAACCTGCCCAAAGGTTTGCTGCAGAATTCTGACTACATGTGGATCACAACAGTGGTATGGGTTTTTCGGGAGGAAGGAAGGAAGGAAAGAGAAAATAAGAAATCTAAAAATACAGCTCAGTTTTAGAAGGCTTACCTAGCTTGTACACAGCCCTGGGGGTGGGAGAAGCAAACCGCTAAGAACAGCTACCTAAGAGCTGAGCCCAAGTGGCTCTTGCCTGTAATCCTAGCTACTCAGGAGGTTGAGATCTGAGGATTGAAGTTCAAAACCAGTTGGGCAGAAAAGTCTGTGAGACTCTTATCTCTAATAAACTACTCAAAAAAAAAAAAAAAGCCAGAAGTGGTGCTGTGGCTCAAGTGGTAGAATGCTGCCCTTGAGCAAAAGCTCAGGGACAGCACCCAGGCCCAGAGTTCAAGCCCCACAACCAGCCAAAAAGGAAAAAAGAAGGAAAGCTAACAGTTCTCCCATGCTCTTATCTCAGCAGTGTATTGTTTCTCCTGTCAGGACAGAGGGGCTTTCCCAGTTCATTGGCCATAGATGCATGTGTCTTACAGTTGGGAATTAGGGTTTTATTTAGTCCACAAATATATTTGGATTATACTACATTCTAAAGGATATCACTATGGTGTTGAACACCAGTAACCCAAACACTCAGGAGATGGTGAGGCAGCAAGAGGAACAAAAGTTTAATTCTAGCCTGGACTACATAGTGCACTCCAGGCCAGCCAGAGGTACAGATTAAGAACTTCTCTCAAACAAAAGTTTAATTCCAACCTGGACTACATAGTGCACTCCAGGCCAGTCAGAAGTACAGATTAAGAACAAGAAAGACAGAGAGAGAAAGAAAGGAAGGAAGGGAGAGAGAGAGAGAAAGAGGAAGGAAAGAGAGGAAAAAAGGGAGAGAAGACAATCCTAGTTAATCAGGAGCCTGAGATCTGGGAATTGAAGTTGAGAGGCCAGCCTTGCCAGACAGATCTGAGACTCTTAATTCCATTTAACTAGCAAAAGTCTGGAAATGGAGCTGTGTGTCAAATGATAGAGTTCCAGCCTTGAGATAAAAAGCCAAGCGGGTTCAAACCAAGTATCAAGCCCCAGTATCAGCATAAAAGCATACAATAAAAGAATGAATGAATAAATAGGACCAAACTACCAGAAAGTATACTGGATCCGGGATGCCTCTCTTTCTCTGTGTTTGGTTAAGACATATCTAGACTCCTTCCAAATTTCAGTGAGGTGTGAGCTCACAGGTTCAACCAGGCACCCACCCCACACCACCATAAGGGGCGGGGCTGCTGTACCTCCCCCTGTGCTGCTCTCCAGTCACTGCTCTGTCCTATGGGCCTTGGAGTATTTTATTTTATACTTCGTTGTTCTTTCTTCCTCCTCCACTTCCTCTTTTTTTTTTTTTTTTTGGTCATCGGGCCTGAACTCTGGGCCTGGGCACTGTCCCTCAGTTATTCAACTTGAAGCTAGTGCTCTACCACTTGAGCCACAGTGCCACTTCCACCTGCTTTTTCTGCATATGTGGTGCTGAGGAATTGAACCCAGGGCCTCATGCATGCGAGATAAGCACTCTACTACTGAGCCACCTTCCCAGCCCCCCACTTTTTTTTTTTTTGTTCATGAGATTGAATTTAGGGCTCCATGATTTCCAAACAAATGCTTTTTACCACTGGAGTCATACCCAGTCCATACTTTTGCTTCTTTAAATTAAGACCCTCACTCACACAAGGAGTTACCTAGAACATGGGGAAAACCCAAAACTTGTTCCTCTGGTTTTCTGATACAGGGACTGATGGTGAAGTATCCAACACTTCATAATTCTTAAACTCATAAACTCAAGAAGATGTTGTGGAACTTGTATCTTAAAATAAAACTGAAAAGGCCAGAAGTGGTGCTGTGGCCAACTGGTAGAGTGCTAACCTTGAGTAAAAGAAGTTTAGGCTGGGCGCCGGTGGCTCACGCCTATAATCCAAGCTACTCAGGAGGCTGGGATCTGAGGATCACGGTTCAAAGCCAGTCTGGGCACGAAAGTCCGTGAGACTCTTATCTCCAATAAACCACTAGAAAACCAGAAGTGGCGCTGTGGCTCAAGTGGTAGAGCGCTTGCCTTGAGCTGACGAGCTGAGGGACAGCGCCCAAGCCCAGAGTTCAAGCCCCATGACCAAAAAAAAAGAAGCAGCAGCTTAGGGACAGTGGCCAGGCCATGAATGAGTTCAAGCCTCAGGACTGGCAAAAAAAAAGAAAGGAAATGAAAACCCCTGAAGTTAGGCAGCTTCCAAGGATGCAGGACTAATGTAATGATGGATGTGGGCTTGAAGCTCCCACCTTGAGGTTTTATATGAATTCCCTCTTTGTACTTTAAAAAATATATATTTTAATGATTATTTTTCCTTTTTCAGTTTTTGGTTATGTGGTACTGAGAAATCAATCCCAGGCCTCATTCATGCTAGGCAAGTGCTCTACCACTAAGCCACATTCCATGCCCTTCCTATACTCTTACCCTTTTAATTTCTACCTATCTTTTAAGATTCTGTTTTATTAGTCCATTCTCACCGTGTACCTGACTAAACACGCTTTTCAAAACATAATTAGGTCTGTGATTTTTTTTATGGCTTAAAAAGATGGGACAAACTTGAGGCCTGTGAAATTCTCTCCTTAATTCTCAGTCTGCTCCTGTTTCATGTCCTACATCTTTAAGAGAGCATCTCTTAAAAATTTGTTGTTAATTTTGTCCCAGTGTGGTTAGTATACACCTGTAATCCCAGCACTTGGGAAGTGGAAGAGGATTGTAAGTTTGAGGCCAGCTAGACTACATAGCAAGATTCTGTCTCAAAATGAGCAGGGGAGTCTCACAGCATGGCCTTGAGTCAATCCCCAGCTCCACCCCCCCAAAAAATGTCTGTTGCCATATGTGGCCCCTTGAAATTGTTTAGTACAAGACAGCAGACACCCTGGCTGCTTCCTGTCTGCTTTCCTCAGTCATCTTGCCTCTGTTGATAATTTTGTTTGTATGGCCTGTAATAATGTTATAAATATCCACTGGGCCCTGGCAGAAAAAAGTTCCCATCCCAGAATAATTCCCAAGTATTGGTTTTAAGGATCTGTATGTAGATGTATGTGTGTAATGGTGAAGTAAAATTATCTATTGACTAGAGAGTTTTGAAAAGAACTTGATGCTCTTAAGAGCCCTGCAGGTGTTTAAATCACAAAGTTATTTGAAATGTGGTTTATGTAAAACCTGAATTCCCGGTCAGTGGTTTGATTTAGAAGTGACCATTGGATGTACATAGTCAGGACTGGATCTACTCACCCCCCTCAAATGGCATGATGTGGACGCACAGAACATCCTCCTGACTAAAGGGTGACACTAGCTACTAATTACCAGAGGCATTCTGGACTTTTTGGCATAGGTGACCATTGGGTTGCAAGCTAGAGTATAGGATTTTCTCCAAGCTCCAAAACTGGTTGACAGTTTTTAGAGTAGGTTTCAAGTTGCAAATGGATGAGGTAGTAAACTTTGACTTGCTTGAACTGCTGAAATGGAGGAGTCCGCTCTCCCTGGCTCTCCAGCTTAACTGGGGACTGGTTTGGCACTTTTGGTTCTGGGCTTGGTCATGTCAAAGGAACACCAAGTCACAGTCTTAGAATGGGCTTTGGGGAGTTAGAATTCATTCTGGCCACATAAACGCAAGATCTCTGTCAGAAGTGAAAACTGGTTTGAAACACTGCTCCGGTTCTAAAGTGGTCCATGCCCCAGCTCACTCAGCTCGCTGTGGGTTGTAACTGTCTGACTGTCTCCAAGCTTGCGCTACTTACCAACGCTCATTTCACCCTCTCTTTTCCCTTTCCTACTCTTGCTTCCTTTGCTATATCTGTGTGTCTTTCATGGTAAGACTAAAGAAAGTCTATCCACGTTATAATAAATAAATTTCATATATTTTTAGTAAACCAGATTGTTGTATATATTTTTGGCTGCCTTTGTCCCTCTGTGTCTTGCTTTTGTTTTGTAAAATATACTCAGTAGTGTATACAAACACATACACACACACATTTCTTTTAGATGTCTATATACAGCAAAGAACTTCAGTGCAAATTTAGTTCTTACTGTATTTGCATTTCTCTTCATGTTTCTAATATTTGGTTCTTGTTATCTTGCATTTTTTTTAACGCTTGCCCAGTAACACTTTAAGGTATTTGCTTCATTACTGGAATTTATTTCTTCTGTAAGTAGTAAGAAAAGAATCTGAGTGATCTCTTCCCCTGGGGGATGGGCAAAGAGATTTCTGGCTCTGTGTTCCTCTCCCCTGATGGTATTTTTAGTAATGCCAACATGGCGTAACCATGATGCAGCTTGCATCTCAGTATCAGTGATGTTGGCAGAGATGGCTACATTGTGGAACTAGGGCCTAGAGACAGGACTGAGAGTCCAGCGATGAAGCTCTGCCAACAGAGGTGAGCTTCCCAGGTCCCCGTGTCCTGTCATCTAGCAGATCTCTTTCTTAATCATGTGTCCTGTGGTAACCTTCTTCTGGCCATCTTTGCAGGGAACAGCCTGACTGAGAGGTTGTATGGATTTGGGATGATGAGCACAGTGTGGTTGGTGGCCAGAGGATGCCTGTCCTTTCTCCCTTCTGCCAGCTCAGCTGGTGGTATTTGTCCTTCCCTAATACTGAGTGTATGAGGATTTGGCCAAGTATACACGAAGTCACATCTGTCCTCAATGACCCCAAATCTTGATTTTTTTTTTTTTTTGGGTCAGTTGTGAGGCTTGAACTCAGGTCATTGATGCTGTCCCTGAACCTCTTTGTGCTCAAGGCTAGCACTCTATCACTTGAGCAACAGTGCCCACACTTCTGGTTTTTGAGTGGTTAAATGGAGAGGAGAGCCTCATTGGGAACTTTTTTGCCTAGGCTGGCTTTGAATCATGATCCTCAGGTCTCAGCCTCTTGAGTAGCTAGGATTACGAGCATAAGGTACCAATGTCTGGCAAATCTTGATATTTTTAAGTAAATATATTTAAAATTAGAGTTTTCAAATTTAAGTTGGACTTTTAGCAAGTGAAAGTCCAGAAATCTTTTCTGCATTATAACAAACTCTCAAATAAGTTGAGTATGGCATCAAATACTCTCCATGGGGCAGAGAGTCATGGATTAAAGTTATTTTGCTTTAGCCTAGACAAGGCCCCATTTCCTAACAAAGCAACAAGGTGTTACCCCTTAGTGATTCAATACATCTGAAGCTCACCTTTTTCCCCTATTTTTTTTTTTTTACTTCAAGAAATTTCTTTAAGTATCAGATTCTTTTCTTACTACTTACAATTCTGGGGTGTAAGTGTAAGCCACACAACAAGATAAAAACAACACTTATATTTTCATCTTTGTGTAGAATTTCAATTTACCATAAACTATAAGAATTCTGTAATTCGTGTGCCGGATATCTTGGGTCTCACTAACCAGACATACTTTCTGCCATTTCTAACCTGGGCCTCAGTTTCCTACTCCTCCAGTTGGTTCAAAACCAGACTATACCTCACATGCTCTGCTAGTTGCCTGTAACAGAGCCAGAATGGCTGCATGTTAATGCTGCGGACTCTCCTTTGAGGACTGTCTGTGCTAATGTGGTGTCTGAGGTTGTGCCCCCAAGGGCTAGCTTAGGACACTGCTTCAGTTTTGTTTTCCCTGAGGTAGTTTTGTGTTACAAGGTCTGCTTTCTGCTGCTTTACTGTGCATGTAATATGAATTTTCCATTTATAGAATGGTTGTACCGGTAGTGTAGCCAGACCTCAGTACCCACTCCATGCTGTCCCCCCTCCCCCCCTCCATGAACATCTCACATACCCATGGTGAGATCATAGATTTATTAAGCTTTCCCAGTTTGTCACTTTCAGTGTTTCCTCATCCAGAAGCCAAACTAGAAAACCACATTGCACTTGGGTCTTCTGTCTCTTTAATCTCTTCCAACCAGTGACAGTGCCTCACTCAGTCTTTCCTTCTTTCATGAACTTGACCCATTTGTACACATGTAATTTTACAACAAAGCTTCAAGTACGTACCCATGTAAACATGTGCAAGCCCTCCCTCTTGAGCTGACTTGCAGCTTACCCTCCCTTCCCCTGTCTCTTGAGTCCCTCCCTTTGTCCACCCACTGCCTAGCCTCTAGGGGGGAATGCCCCCCTCAATAATGGCTTCACCTGCCTGCTGTGAAACCAGAGTCCATGTTTTTGCCCTCCTAATTCCAGCCTCCATTCTCCCACTGAATCACCTCCTTTCCGTGTCAGCCTTTCTGCAGTGTGATTTCTGTAAGCAGCTGACATCCTCTCAGATACTGTGGCTAAAGTAGTAATCCTTCAGTTTGGATAGTAATCATCTTTGTTGCTGTTTTGGCCCACATCATCTTAAAACTCATTCTTGAAACTTGCTACAAAGTTACTGAAATTAGTGAGAACCAAAGGATATTTCCAGCATAAAACTGCTCTGCATGGCATCTGTGTAATTGCTTTGCATGTATGTATTTTAATTGTCATTGCTTGGTAATAATTTATTCCAGATGTAACAATATTCAACTTGGGGCTCTATTTTGATATAATTTGGGGGAGGGTTGCAACAGTTTTTTTTTTAATTTACATCTTCCAAATTTATTAACTTGTCTCTTTAAGTTCAAATGGATACAATGATAATGCAGATTCTGGCATGTCTCTGCATAGGTAACTTTTTCTCCCCTCACAGTAAGTAAAATTTCAAGTAAAAATTTGCAAGCACAATACTTTTAATGCCCTTATAAAGCTTCCTATTTATAAATTTTTACATTAACTAAAGCTATTTGAGTGTCTGTTTTAGAATAGTTGTGCACTGGTGGCTCTCAGTTGATGTCTGGAACTCTTTTTAACTCTTTGGTCTTTTAGAGAATCAAAGTTCATAAAAGACGCTGATGAAGAAAAAGCCTCCTTGCAGAAATCCATTAGCATCACCAGTGCTTTGCTCACAGAGAAGGATGCAGAGCTAGAAAAGCTGCGGAATGAGGTGGGCTACAGGGGGGATGTGTCCTGCAGCAGCTTTGACCCGACCTCCCATCCTAAGTCCAGCCACTGTGTTTGTTGCAGGTCTCAGTGCTCAGAGGAGAAAATGCCTCTGCCAAGTCCTTGCATTCTGTTGTTCAGACTCTGGAGTCTGATAAGGTGAAGCTTGAGCTCAAGGTAAAGAACTTGGAGCTTCAACTCAAAGAAAACAAGAGGCAGCTCAGCAGCTCCTCAGGTAATACAAAGCCGAACTGACACTACTGCATGCCTGGCACCCCTCCTTTCACCCCACTCTCCTCCAGGAGTCATGGTCCTCCAGTGCAGCCAGCTCTTGCTCTGCCCCCTGCTGGCTGTCCCTGGCTCTCCCACATTAACTCATCAGGGCTAGTCATAGTCTAGGCCCCACACAGGGGCACGCTTGATGCTTCTCTGGGGCATTTCCAGTCTCTGAGTACTGCCACGCATCAGACAGCCGCCATCATGGCAGCAACCACAGCAGGCTCTGAAAGTACACACAGGGATGGAGGACAGAGAAAGCCCTGTGCAGGAGGGTGACCACTTGCTTCTTAAAGTCAGGTGGAAGGGGCAGACATTTGTATGCAATAGATGAGTAGCCTAAAAGGGATAGGGCAGGTGTCTGTGAAGACCCTGTGGGCCTCTGGCTGGATCACAGAGGGCTATGTGGGAATAAAGTTTTTCACACCTCCCTTACTCAGTAAGGAGAGTAAATTGCAATGTCATTCACCCCCCTCTACTTTTTCTTATTTTAATATAAGGTAATACTGATGCTCAGGCAGAAGAGGACGAAAGAGCCCAGGAGAGCCAGGTAATGTTCCTAGCTTACTGCTCTGCTGTCTTTCTGATTTTCTTATGAATAGACAATTCATTCTTATTCCAAACATTCAACAGTATTAAAAAAATATGTACAATAATCAGTCTTCCACACTTTCTTCTGTTCAGTTCCTCAACCCTCAGATAATTACTATTACTCCTATCTTAGTTTTGCAGAGATTTAAAGAAATAGTCTTGGCACATGCAAGGATGAGGATTCCTTAAGCCTAAAAGACTAACTCACAGACACACACATGTGCACACATACACATATATTCCAATACAATCCCCTCGCCCGTCATCTCATTTTTTTACATAAGTAAAAAAATACCACCTAAACCATTTTGTACCTATCTTTTGTAGCTGTATAGTATTCCATTGTATGGATGTACCATAATTTTAGTCAGGTTAACATGGCATTTGAGATGTTTCTAATCCTTTGGGCATATTATAAGTGACAGCTTTCAATCTCTTAACTTTCTCTAGGTTAGTTCTGTCTGCTTAGTGTGTGTCTCATGGGTGTAGCAGAAAATTAACATTGTTTTCTCTCCCTTTCCTGCTTCCATTTGTTTCTGCTGCTGCTGACAACACTTTTCCTCCCATCAGCAAATGGTTTGTTTTATGTTTCATAATTTGTGTGCACATGATATGTTGGTGTGTATGGCTTTCTACTGTATGTCCATGTTGTGGTTTTTCTTCTTCCTGAAACGGGGCTCCTAATAGGACTTAGAAAATGAAGTTTGTGAAGTAAAAATAGGCTCAGTGACTGCCTTCAAAGGTACCTCGCTGATGCTGAGGGTAGCGACCCATGCAGGACTGCCACCCTCGTGTACTATGCCCCAGCAGGAGAAAGACCAAATGCTTCTTTAAAAATACTAGAAACGAGCCAGGTGCCAGTGGCTCACGCCTGCAATCCTTAGCTATTCAGGAGGCTGAGATCTGAGGCTCATGGTTCAAAGCCAGCATGGCAGAAAACTCCGTGAGACTCTTATCTTCCAATGAACCACCAGAAAACTAGAAATGGCGCTGTGGCTCAAGTGGTAGAGTGCGTGCCTTGAACCGAAGAGCTCAAGGACAGTGCCCTGGCCCAGAGTTCAAGTCCCATGATGGACAAAAAAAAAAAAAAAATACTAGAAATACACACTTTATAGATCAGTCCAGAAATAGTGGCCAAAAGAGAACTGTCATAGCCAGGTACCGATGGCTCATGCCTGTAATCCTAGCTACCCAGGAGACTGAGTTCTGAGGATTGCTGTTCAAAGCCAGCCTAAATAGGAAAGTCTGTGAGACTCTTATCTCCAATAAAACACCAGAAAACTGGAAGTGACAAGTTTATCTATTTCTATCTGGAAACATTCAATAAAATGTCATTTAAACTGGTTGTCACTATAAAATAGTTACTCAGTATGAAAAGTTGGAGAGAAACTAAGCAACCTCCTGAGTCCCTTCATAGAGCAGTAGCCTCACTTATATTCAGTTGTTTGTCAGACAGTCCTGGCTTTCTCACTCTAGGGAGCAGGACTCAGTAGCTGCCTTGTTGGCCCCTCTGATGTCTTCATTTAGCCTGAGGGTATACCCCCACTGCTACTATGTGTTTTGGACACACACTTATAGCTCACTATTTCTTTCTCTTTTTTAATAAATAGATTGATTTCCTAAATTCAGTAATAGTGGACCTTCAAAGGAAGAATCAAGACCTGAAGATGAAGGTGGAGATGATGTCAGAAGCGGCTCTCAACGGCAATGGGGATGACCTGAACAGCTATGACAGGTACTGTGCGCGGAGCCGGCCTAGGCGAGTCTGAACAGCTATGACAGGTACTGTGCGCGGAGCCGGCCTAGGCGAGTCTGAACAGCTATGACAGGTACTGTGTGCGGAGCCGGCCTAGGCGAGTCTGAACAGCTATGACAGGTACTGTGTGCGGAGCCGGCCTAAGCATGTCTGAACAGCTATGACAGGTACTGTGTGCGGAGCCGGCCTGAGCGAGTCTGAACAGCTATGACAGGTACTGTGTGCGGAGCCGGCCTAAGTGAGTCTGCCTAGGACGAGCTTCTCCACTGGCTTGCCAAACCCAAAGAAACAATTAGACCCCTGTCAGGCTGGCAGACTGTAGTTCTTTCTTTTTTTTTTTTTAATTGTTATTAGAAAGATGTTGTTATAAAGAGAAGTTAGTTACATAAGTCAGGTAATGAGTACATTTCTTTTTGGACAATGTCACCCCTTGCTTTGTTTTCAAATTTCTTTCCCTATAAACATGATAAGCAGGTATCCTATCTATGGAGCTACCTACACTCTCCCGGTCCTTTGTTTTTATTCTCTTTTTGAAACAGGGTCTTATACATTTTTGCTCAGGCTGGCCTTGAACTCTCAACCCTCCTGCCTTGGCCTCTCATGTAACTGGGATTACAGCTGTTTACCAACATACCTGGTTTCTTATTTCAAATTCTTTATAAGTGCAATTGTCTCTTGAATTTCTCTTGATAAAGTTTCTGGCTTTTCACATTAACATTTGTAGTGATGACCAAGAGAAACAGTCCAAGAAGAAGCCCCGCCTCTTCTGTGACATTTGTGACTGCTTTGATCTCCACGACACCGAGGACTGCCCCACCCAGACACAAATATCTGAGGACCCTCCCCACTCGACACACCATGGCAGCAGGAGTGAGGAGAGGCCATACTGTGAGATCTGTGAGATGTTCGGGCACTGGGCGACCAACTGCAACGACGACGAGACCTTCTGAGGGCCTCGGTGCAGAACTGGGATTTCTCAGAGGCACTGGCATCAAAGCAGCTTAACACCAGCATTGTGTGTGCAACTTCAGGAGAACTCGTGTTAGTTTGGTCAGCAAAGCTAAGAAAATATTTAGGTCTTCAACAAATCACCCTTAATCTTCTTTTAAGTTAGAATAGTAAATAAATATTTAGTAGGTGAACTTTCACCTTTCATCTTGTTTTCTGAAGTTTTAAGTTTAAGATATTGCACCAGGTGCTGTTTCATTTATTGTCCCTCATGGAACAAGCCCAACCCTTACCATACCTTATTTAAGAAACTTTAAATTATGCCGTTATTTTTCACATTTGCACTAAAAATTTCTGGGCTGCATTTTGTGTATTTAGATTTATTTTTGGTGAAGCTTGACACTGGAACGAGTTGCAAAAAATGTACAGTTTTGTGTTTCCATAAGTATCAGCTGTCTGCACTCCCCGCCGTCAGCAGTGCCTTGTCGCCAGGCTTGACAACACAGGTGTGATTCTGCGTCATGAAGCGGGTAACAGAGGGAAGCCCCCAACTGCTGTGGGACATTTTATAGTATTTATGCTGCACCCACGTTCTCGCTGTGGTGTCTTCTCTATTGGGTTAATAATTTCAGCTTCTATATATTATATGTATATATTTTTTAAAGAAATCTATATTTTGGGAAAAAACACAGTGTGTTTTTCTTTTCAGATTTTTTTACCTTTATGAAAAAGCAAACACCTAAAATCATCGTCAGGACTAGGCCAGAAATAGCATCATGTGGCTCCAAAGCTATTTTTCCTTTTTTTTTTTTTTCCATTTTGTTTCTTTACCAAATAGATATCGCTGGAAGAACTTTTTTCCAGTTAAATTGTTTTCCCCTTCTCTAGCATACTTCTCCAGCAGTGAATTAATTATAAAACACATAAATTAACCAACTACAGTCTTCCTTTACAAGTTTTTTTAAACTGTATTTTTACATGAATGTACGATGAGAAATTCAACATTGATTTTCTTATCACAGGAAAATAAAATGAAGGACCTCAACCCCCAGGACATGTTAGAGAGTAGTGGCAATGTCTTCTAAAAGGCATTAAGATGATGCACCGTCCATGCAACCTGTATAATAAGAACTTGTATAATTGTAGATATGCCTTTGATGGATTTCCTCTCAATTTGATCAACTGTGTGTCTGACAAGTGGATATTAAACACATCTGTTACCAGTTAATAAGATCATAGGAATTGTTTCACAGACTTAACATTTAAAGCAGTATTAAAACCTGCACAAACAAGTGTTCTTGTAACTACTTTAATAAATGGTTATTTTGTTTTCAGTCGTGGTAGTAAATTTGTGTTATTCTCAGGTTTGTCATCATGGCCCTAGAGATTCAAATCATAATTGCCTCCCTCTCTTCCTCTCCCTTCTTTTCCCTCCCTCCCCTCTCTTCCTCTTTTCTTCCCTGTCCCTCCCTTCCTTCCTGAACCCAGGTTCTCCTGCATGATAAACACTGGATTGCACCCCAACATTCCAAATAGTCATTTCTACTGTACTCACAACTTGTGAAAAAACAAAAACTGGTGTGTCCTGAATGCCTGGAGTCGAGGAGACCCTGCTGACCAGCTGTGGGGAGCAGCAGAGGGAACTTCCTGAGGGTCATGTATCTGGAGAATGGGTCTTGGGTGTGTAGGAATGCAACTGAATCATTAAGAATTGTAAAAAATTGGGGGCTGGGAAGGTGGCTCAGTGGTAGAGCGCTTGCCTTGCATGATCGAGGCCCTGGGTTCGATTACTCAGCACCACATAAGCAAAAAGAAAAAGCCGGAAGTGGCGCTGTGGCTCAAGTGGTAGAGCGCTAGCCTTGAGCTGAAGAGCTGAGGGACAGCGCCCAGACCCAGAGTTCAGGCCCCACGACTGGACCCAAAAAAAAAAAAAGAATTGTAAAAAATTGGGAAAAGATGAGGTATTTGTGGCTTTGATCTCCGTAAGACCTAACTCTTCAGATCACCTGCTGTATATAAGGTCATGGGTTTTTAAGAATTGGGGAGAGAAGGGCTAGGAAGGTGGCTCAGTGGCAGAGCGCTTGCCCTGAATGCCTGAGGCCCTGGGTTCAATTCCTCAGCACCACATAAGCAAAAAGAAAAAAGCTGGAGGTGGCGCTGTGGCTCAAGTGGTAGAGCACTAGCCTTGAGCTGAAGAGCTGAGGGACAGCGCCCAGGCCCAGAGTTTAGGCCCCACGACCTGACCAAAAAAAAAAAAAGAATTGGGGAGAGAAATGGCATGATGACACATACTGGCTATCCCAGACAGTCAAGCAGGTCACTAGTTCAAGGACCAACTAGGATATAGAGTAAGATCCTCTCAAAAATAGTGAAGGGGGGGCTGGGAAGGTGGCTCAGTGGTAGAGTGCTTGCCTTGCATGCCTGAGGCCCTGGGTTCAATTCCTCAGCACCACATAAGCAAAAAGAAAAAAGCCAGAAGTGGCGCTGTGACTCAGTGGTAGAGCGCTAGCCTTGAGCTGAAGAGCTGAGAGACAGCGCCCAGGCCCAGAGTTCAGGCCCCTTGACTGGACCCAAAATAACAAAAAAAAATAGTGAAGGGGGGCTGGGAAGGTGGCTCAGTGGTAGAGTGCTTGCCTCACATGCATGAGGCCCTGGCTTCGATTCCTCAGCAGCACCACATAAGTAGAAAAAGCTGGAAGTGGCACTGGGGCTCAAGTGGTAGAGTGCTTGCCTTGAGCTAAAAAGCTGAGGGGCAGCACCCAGGTCAGGCCCCACAACCAACAACAGCAACCAAAAAAAAAAAAAAATAGTGAAGGAACAGGACGTGGGTGGCTGACGCCTGTAACCCTAACTACTTAGAAGGCTGAGATCTGAGGATCATGGTTCAAAGCCAGCCAGGGCAGGAAAGTCCCTGAGACTCTCTATCTCCAATAAACCACTCAGAAAACGGGAAGTGGCGCTGTGGCTCAAGTGGTAGAGCACTAGCCTTGAGCTGAAGAGCTGAGGGACAGCATTCAAGCCCCATGACCAACAAAAAAATGAGTGAAGGGGAAGACAAAAATTGAAATCTAAAATAATTCCTCTTCAAACTTGCAAAGGAAAAGTCATAGTGGATTGTAGAACAGCATGCCACCGGGTCCTGGGCCAAGACTGTCCACCTCAAATATGACTTATTTTGTCTTACTCAGGAGGTGAAAGTGGAAGGATCTTAGTTTAAGAGATGTTTAGGCAAAAAGATGTTATCTCAAAGAACAACGGGGCCTAACCTGTAATCCCAGCTATGTGGGAAGAAAAGGTGGGAGATCAGGGTCCACAGCCAGCTGGGACTAAAGACAGAGTATCTGGAGAAAAAGTTAAATCAAGAAAGGCTGGCTTAAGTCATAGAGTCTTTGTCTTACACAGTCCAAAGCTCTTGAGTTCAAAACCCAGTACTAAAAATGGAAATTGGTATCAAAGCATTGTGACCCACTCATGAAAAAATCTGAGGTTGTTAGTGTTTTATCACACTACCTAACACAAATACAAGTGGTAACATTAACACTATCTTGCAGTTCTGTTTGTTTTTGACTGGGATTTCCTTATCTTGCAGTTCTAAGGAATATCTTAAGAGAGTGGGGGAGGGGGGAGAAGGGGGGGTGTGTTTTGGAGATCTCACTATATTTTTCTTCTGCCTCCATTTTCCATGATCTGGCATGTGTCACAAAGCCCAGCTTCTGTTAATCCATGAAATCGTCGAAACTGAAAACTGATAGGATTGGAGTGTGCATTTGTGCTGGTCCTGGGGCTTGAGCTCAGGATCTGGGTGAGGTCCCCTAAGCTTTTGTGTTTAAGGCTAGTACTGTACCACTTGAGCCACGGTGCACTTTTGGCTTTTGGATGGATGGTTGGGGATAAGAGTCTTGGGCTGGGCACTGGTGGCTCACGGCTGTAATCTTAGCTACTTAGAAGGCTGAGATCTGAGGATTGCAGGAAAGGTTGAGACTCATCTCCAGTTCACCACCGGAAAACCAGAAGCGAAGCTGTGGCCCAAAGTGGAAGGGCACTAGCTTTGGGGGGGGGGGAGGAAGCTCAGGAACAGTGGCACACCCTGGGCTCAAGCCCCACCACCAACCCCAACCCCCCCCCCAAAAAAAAGAAAAAAACACCTCAGGGACTTTCCTGCTGGGACTGGCCTCTAAGACCCTCAGATCTGTTTCCTGAGTAGAGAGGGTTACAGATATGAGTCACTAGCACCTAGCAATTGCTGGAATATTTACAGAAATGATTACTAAAGCAATTGAGTGCTGGGCCTTTGAACACAGGCTTATTCACAGTTATTATTCAAGTAGGAATGTTTCTCTTTCCTTAATAATAGTACTCAACTTTGGTACTGACCTGAGGTGAATAATCCATACTGGGCCAGGTGCAGTGTCACATACTTATCATCTCAGCACTTGGGAGGTTGGCAAAGGCTGACAACTGAGTCTGAGGCAAGCTGGGGCACAGTGGAAACGGAGTTGAGAGCTAGGACAGGGAAGGCTTTGCATGTGTGCTCTTATGTTAAACCCGGAACTGTGTCTGGCAGCCGGGCGCCGGTGGCTGACGCCTGTCGTCCTAGCTCGTCGGGAGGCTGAGATCTGAGGATCCCCGACCAAAGCCAGCCCGGGCAGTGAAGTCCCTTTGGGACTCCTCTCCAATTAACCACCAGCAAGTCGGCAGTGGAGCTGTGGCTCAAAGTGGCAGAGCCCTGGCCTCGAGCAGAAGGGCGCAGGGGCAGCGTCCAGGCGCCGAGTTCAAGCCCCGCGGCCGACAAGAAATAATAAATACAATGCCTGTGCTCGACAGAACCGAGAGTGTGAGCAGCTCTTTCTCCTCCAGTGCCGTGAGCCGCGTCTCCACCAGCTTTTGGCGGCCTCCCGCCTTCCCTGCGGAGGCCGCCTGCGGAGCGCGCGCGCCCGGGCGTCGCCCTTCCCAGCCTCCGGTGGCGTCTTCAGAATCTTCGGGCTCTGGTCGGACCCGAGGCCCGCCCGGCCGCTCCCCGGGTTCCGGCGACGCCGGAGCTCCAGCGCGAGAAGCCTCCGAGACGCGTAAACCCGACGCGGAACTCGAGGCCCTCGGCGCCCGAGGAAGGGGCGGGCCCCGGGACGCCGCCGATTCTAACTGGTCGGTCCGGCCGCCGGAAGCGAGTGTGCGTCAGCGGACGAGCGCCGTCACGTGACAGGGAGTTCCCGCGGGCAAGATGGCGGCGCACCTGTCCTATGGGCGAGTGAACCTGAACGTGCTGCGCGAGGCGGTGCGCCGCGAGCTGCGTGAATTTCTGGACAAGTGCGCGGGAAGCAAGGTGAGGGTCGGCGGGCAGCCGCGCCGCCCTCGCCGCCCCTCGTCCGACCCGGCCGCCTGGGTTCCGGGTGGACGAGGTCTCCCCGGGCGGCGGGCCTCGGGGCCTTGCCCCTGCGCCCGGAACCGGCCGCCTCGCCGAGGCGGGAGGGCCCGGGCCCGGGTCGCGTGGCACCGCCGAGAGCCGCCGTGATGCCCCGCTGTCCCCCTCCCGCGGGCCCGGCCGCGTCCGCTCGGCCCCGAGCGCGGCGCCCCGCCGCCCTGCAGCCCTCTGTCCGCTCGGGCTGCGGCGGAGGCCCCGTGCCGGGACTTCAGCGTGGCCTCCTTTTGACACAGGGCCTCGCTGCGTAGCCCAGGCTGGCCTCGAGTTCATGATCCCCCTGCCTCTGCCGCACAGGTACCCCAAGTACAGGCTTGCACCAACCACTTACGGCCACTTCTTAAAATTCTTTTTAGGTCCGAGATTGGTACTCGAACTCAGTACCTGACACTTCTGCTCATTGGCTAGCGCCCTACCAGCTGACCACGCTTCTTAAGTATTATTACCCTCTCCAGAATAACCAGACGTACTCCTCTGAAGAGAAGTACTTTTCTCTGAAGAGAAAAATAGATTGGAAGAACCGCAGGAACCCATCTTGGAGAGAACAGAACCCCAAAAGGTGGAGTGGTAGCAACCATTGAGGAGAGAAAGTAGGCTAAATCATAGGAGCCAAATTAAATTCAGCAAATGATGCTAGAATCTAAAACAACGTGGATTTTATCATGCCGGTATCCTGAGTGTAATACTATATTTTGTAAAATGTTTCACTAGGGGGATGTAGGTACTCAGGAGTCTTTCTGTTGTTTCTTGGAACTGAATAGTTATTTAAATTTCAGTTGTTGTTGTTGTTGTTTTTTTGGTCGGCCGTGGGGCTTGAACTCTGGGCCTGGGCGCTGTCCCTCAGCTCTTCAGCTCAAGGCGAGCGCTCTACCACTTGAGCTACAGTGCCACTTCAGGTTTTCTGGTGGTTTATTGGAG